AGCTGGCTCTAGGATTTGGTTTAGAACTTAAGCAAAAACCCAAACAAATCCACTAGTCATTTGGGAAGACCACATTGTCACAAACAGCATTGGCACATGTGACCTTGCGCTATACTCAGTCCCCACCCCGGGGACCTAGAGACAGCGGTGCCCACTGGCCTCCCACTCCGGAAAAGGAAAGGGTGGGGCTGCTCGTGGTATCACCTGTTGTCCCCGACCCAGGCAGTCTCTGGCACTGATTTTCTCAGCACGACTGTACCAGCCAGCAAAGGGGTCTACGACGTATCATGCACAGAAAGAAACACTGTCGGGGCTTCCCGTGCCTCTCCTCATTCCTGGCCCCACAACAAAGAGCTGAAAAGGAGAGACAGCCCCAGCCCGTGTCTACTGTGGTGCCTGTCCCGATGCAGCGCCACGTGAAGGCCAAGCTGGAGAACACGCCCGGGGCCTTTCTCCACATAGAACGCTAAACTAGAGTGAGGCCACCAAGCTTTGGATTCATAAAGACGGGTTTGTTGGAAAGCAAAAACAAAGCATACTTTAAGGTGATGCCAAAGAGGGTATCACCTCTGCTCCCTACCTCATTCCCACCTCACCTTTCTGGCCCCTCACCAACACCCCAAAAGAAAAGGAGGGCAAAACACGTAATCCTTTCCCAGCAAGCCGGTCGGCTCCACCCCCACTCCCCCAACCAGCAGGTGCCTTCCTCTCATCAGTCCTGGCCCTCTAATCCACTTTCCTCCAACCCCCATCCCACACTCATTCCCTCTCTTCCTCCCTGACACCCATCCCCTTCCTCCAAATGCCTTCCCTCCTGGGGCAGATGCAAAAGCCCAGGACTCAGATGGAATGTCAAATGTGACGGACACGTTGTGGGGTGAGCTTCCAGAGAGACTCCAAGACAGCGATCTTGGTCATCAGGGCGCAGAATCGGCCCCGACCGAACACCCACTCTGCTCCCACTGAAAATGTGGGCAAGGGATTGGTGGACAGACTAGGAAGCAAGCAAAGGAAACAGCAGGAATCGAACAAAACAAAACACAACATCAACCCCATTGATGATTCACATATTGCATAAGAGTGCTCTTATTTGAACCTAAAGAATAATTTATATTATTTCTGTAGAAAATCAAATGAACACTGTCTACTCATCAACCCTAAAGGTCAGGGCACATGTGGTTCCCCCTCCCCAGAGCCAGGGTCAGCGCACACAGTGTGGCCCCCTCCCCGGGGTCAGTGCAGGAGAGGACAGAGGCAGCACCTCCTTTATTGCTGTAGGAAGCCGAGCTCTGCACCCCGTTGTCTCCTCATGACGTGGAGGCCAGGCAAACTCGTTTCCGTGGGAGGATGGAGGAGGACGTATCTCCCAGTCTCATTCTTAAAGAGTTGAAAAGACTCTACTCATGATACGAGTTGTGATTCTTCTTGTTCAGAAATCACCTCTAGGAAAACTCACCCTTAGAAGTCATTACTCCATGACTTCCTTAAAAACAGTCCCCAGGTCCTCTCTGATGATGTGGAGGCTGAAGGTGGCCGCTGTCAGATGTTTTGCACCAGCTGAAGTTAAGGCGAGCAACCCTTTCCTCCTGGCGGGAGCAACGGAGAAGAGGGGTACCTGAGGCAGCCTCAGCAACACGCTCAGGAAGGACAGGAGCAGGAGGACAGTATACGCTGGCTGCCTCCATCTGAGGCTGTGCTTTTTTCCTCACAAAGGTTGCCAGAATTCACATCAGGTACAAAGAAAGTCACACTAAATTAAATTCTCTGGTCAGGAGCTATCCCAAGCAGCCCGAGTCCCAGCAGGTGTGGTGTGGGGCAACAGGCCGATGAAGAACACGAACCAGCTGCTCCTTCCCGTCCAGGTCTGTCGTTGGAGCAAGGCAAGACTGAGCTGACAGTCTCCCTCCGGGGTCTTGTGGCTCACAGGCCACATCTCAGATGGACGGAGAGAGGGGACATGGGCAGTGAGTTTACTAACGGAACTCTTCCAGGGGATGCTGGCTACCGGCGATCCAACTTTTCTTTCCGTCGGGAAGCGAGGGACAGTGATGACGGGAGAACATAAAGACAGACCTCTAGTGCTGCTAGCCAGGGAGGTTGGTGGCTGGGTTCTTTGGCAGTAGTGGGCTTAGGCCAACAGAAGCAACAGAGACATGTGTGTGTGGAATCTCCTTAGGCTGCCTCTTCTGGGACTGTGGCTTAGCTGATGCTGAGCTGGGCAAATCCAATTAGCTTCCCGTCATCAGGAATATCCGAGCCTTCAACACCAGACGCCTGGGAACCAAACAAGATGAGAAGCTGTGAAGCGTTTATGAACAAAACTCAGGTAGTGATCAGAACTCATGTGGAGACTGTGGGAAGGCAGGCTGTGGTGGAGAGGTCCCTGGGATGCCAACAGGAGGCTGACGAAGGTGTCTCTTCTAGAAAGGATGGGAGCCTGGATGGACCCCCACTGCAGTGAGACGGACTAGTAATCTCTGGAGCACAGCCAAGGGCCTGGACTTGAGTGAGGTGGCAGTGGTGAAGAGAGCGAGGCTATTCAAAGGGAGACGTAGGCCCTGGGCTTCCAGGCCTGGCAATATTCTCATGACTCTGGGAACAGGGAAGCTGCTCTCTCGGGGATGCTGGGTGTGGGGTGTGTGTGGGTGTGTGTGTCAAGGGCAGGAGGTGGGAGGAATGAAGGATGGATACCAGTTTGAAAGTGACAGATCGATTCGACTGAGGCTCTTCCACAATTTTCTGCAAATTAGCTGCCACTGTAATTACACAGAGAAAACAACAGTGAGAGGTTAGTTAGCTACAGTCCTTTCCAACCATATTTAAATGGCTTATGTGTAGTCCATAACCTTCTATGTAGAGTCAAAGCAGCAGTACAAAATTCAAATGGTAACTCCCCCCCCAAAAAATTCTTTTAAACCCATTTAAATAGAGAATCACTGTCAAATTAACTTTCTATAAAATGCTTTATCCATCTAGGAAAGATACCTGATGGGAAGTTACGATCTGCCTCCTAACGGACCAGAGAGCCTCAGGAGTTAAAGAACTACGTATGGCCTGTGGCCCGTTTTTGTTCTGCCAACACAGAGCACAACCCAGAAAGGAGGTTACTGCTGGTTTGTTTGGGGGTGGGGTGGAGGGGACAGTGAGTGGTGGTAAGGCGCTGTCCCCAGTCCTCCGTAATTCCAGTGAACCCAAGAACCATTCCAAGAGGCAGCAGAGCGACCCCGTGGAGTGAGGTCTGGTTTTCTGGGGGAGGAAGTCCTTGCACCGGGGACAAAGGGCACAGGGGGCAGGAGCAGGGTACGCGGTGTGCTCACCTATTACTAAATCCCTTCCATCGACCAGGCCGGCAGAAATGAGTTCCTGAGAGACACCCTCTGCTGTATCTGCAAGGAGAAAGAAGGGGCTTTATTTCTTGTGCATGCATGTCACAGCTCCACCAGACCCAGACGAACCGTTAAACCCACAGACTCAGGAAGGAATGCAGGCAGGGTGTATCCTAGCCACCCGGCTTTCCCTCAGCAAAGCGCTTTAGCTACAGGGCAGGGAACCAGGCAGCAAGTATCAGCTCCATGGGAAACGAGTCCTAGGCAGGGAGCTGAGCTCCCTCAGAGCTGGTCAACAGAGGACCAGACCCCACACAGGCTTTAGGGAACACACCGCACGCACTTCCTTTGGGGAACACTCTCCAAGTTGTGCTTTTGCTATAACTAAACCATCTCTTTCTCATCCTGGTGGACTTCTCTTCCTACCTGGTGGTACAACCTGAGCAAAATAGCCCCACTTAAATTCATCCCCAGCCTCAGTCAGCGCTGGGTCCAGACCTGCTCAAACAGAATGCAGACCGATTCTGGTGGGAGACTGTCACATTCCAGCACCGATGACCAGTGGCTTAAAGTAATCCCATTGGAATGGGATTTTGCTGGGCTTTCTAAAGGCCGCACATACTTCTGTGCCCATGTCCTCTCCTTGAGGGTTAGTTGCTGACAATACTGAGGGAGCAGGGCGAGGGCATGCGGTGCACAGGGCACTCCCCACACCAGACCGGTGAGTAACAGAGGCCAGAGATAAAACAGGTCTCATTCCAGGGAGGAGCCCAAGGCCAGGAAGAGTGCATGGCAGGGGTCAGCTTCAGTATGAGGGAGAGGAGACCATATGTTTTGTTTCTGATTGACTATCTCAGAGGATAACCAAGTTCAACAATAAAAGAAAGAACTTTGGACTCCAACTATCTGGGGTTGACCTCTTTCCAGCTCTGTGACCTTGAGAAAGTTACTTTGCATCTCTCCAAGGCTTGACTGCATCGTCCTTAAAATGGGACAATAATCTTTCCTTAGGGGCTATTGTGAGGTTTGAGTGAGGCATTGCTTTATTGGTGGTGCTGTCTGATATGCACTGGACTGTAAACTGTTGCTGCTCTGAGGGCAAAAGATGAGGTTGTCTGTTCCCTTAAAGATTTACAGCCTTGGAAACTTTATACAGGATGGCTGTGATCCCGAATAATGGGTTTGGTTTGTTTCAATGCCTGGCCCATAACCTAAAACCAAATTCACTGCCAATGAGTTGATGACGGCTCTAAACAATCCTATAGCACAGGGTGGAACTGCCTTTGTGAGTTTCCAAGGCTGTAACTATTAACAGGGACAGAAAGCCGGCTTTCTCCTGAGGAGTGGCTAGTGGCTTTGAACTGCTGACCTTTCGGATTGATTGCAGCCCAACTGGTAACCACTACGCCTGGCCCGCAGCAAACAATAAATGAACTATATTCATTACTGTGTGCTAGTGCACTAGATTTTCTAAATGAGTTTATTTTATTTATTCACCAAAACCTTTAACCGATAATTTTTTGGGCTTTAAAAACAAACATATCTAAAACTCTTCACAGAGGACAAGTTATTTTCCTGTTAAACCCTCCATTTTTTGCCCCCCCACTCCCACGCCCATCCCAACCCATTCTCTCACCCCGTTCCCACCCCTGTCCCTGGCCTCCTTGAGATCAGCAGTCTTGTCCCTTGGTGTATAAGCCACATTTCTTCGTTGTTTTCCCTTTTAAGAATGGTGATATTAAATATTTATCTTTGCAAAATGACTGAGTTTGCTAAGCATGTTCTCTAGCTTTGTCCAGGTCTTGAAGTATTTAACAGTGTTATTTTTTTATTTACTGAAGAACCAGAGGACAAATTAGAAGTTACTCTCTCTCCGATGTTTCTCATGCCTCACCTCTCCCAGGAGTAAATTCGAAGCGGATATCATTTAGTTCTTTCTTGGAATTCCTAAGAAAGAAAATAGAATGGATGCAATAAAAACCTCTGATTTTGCACTTTATCAATATATATTAAGAAAACGATGCCTTGTGAAAATCTGTTCGGTGCCCATAATCATATAACTTGACTGATCATATCAAATGAACTCCCACTGCAGGGCTTACAGCAAATGACTCCACATGGTCATCCAAGCGTCTGACCCTTTCAACTTCTGCACCTCCTTCCCACCGATACACAGAAACATGCCGTGGCCACTAGATGACTGGGTCAAAGGGAAATCTGAGCACAGGGAGGCAGGTCTTAAAGAAGGGCCCGCTCTGGCAGCAGAGTTAACACAGGAATCCAGAAACATGTACATGTGACTGTGAGCTAGTTTACAGTGCACTGTCTTGAGACTGTACATGCACTGAGATTAGCCAGGCTCCTTGTAGAGTTTTGTGGAAGGCAGTGAGATTAGAACATTTTATTTGTACCTGATCACTGATATCTTGGCAACAAAGAAAACTTAGGTCTGCCTGACCAACAATATACCCGAGGATGCTGCTGAAATTGTATTTAAAATAGGACTACCCTTTTCAAATAAATGATGGCCCCACCGGATCTTCCTGCCACACTGCCTTCTCTCTTCTCTGCACTTGCACCCACAGGCTCGCCCTCGGCGTGAACAGGACCTGGGCCCGACTCTGAAGCTGTGCAAAGAACATGCAGACCAACTTCCTACGAGACTCGGTCATCAGGGAGGCATTTAGTTGTTGCTTTTCTTGGAATCCTTCCATAATATTTAAGCGTGCTCTACAGAATCTGTGCTGAAGGCATGATTAGGTAATTCAAAATAGCATTTATCTATCTATATCTTAAAGCTGAAATAAAATTAAGTTGGAAATGTTCAGCGCACATTTGTTGATTTAGCTGGCATGCCAACCACAAAGGCCTGGAGAGGTACCAGCAAGAGTAAACTGGGCTAATGTGCCCATCGCCCCACCGGGTCAGTTAACTTCAAAGTCTTGACCTGTGAAAGCAAGTATCCAGCCTCATATTCCATAAACACAGTGTGGCGCCTAAGTCATTACAAAACCTCTCTCTGAAGAAGTTAACGAAACTATCTCTTACAAATGTCCACCGTCCTGCAGCACATGGCAAATGCCCATTAACTGATGCTATAAAGATACTACGGAAGAATCCTGATCAAAAGGGGGAAGATGGAGAACAAGATTTCAAATTCTCCTGGAATCTGGATTGTCTGGAGCTAGAGGCTGGGTGAGTCCCTGAAATTACTACCCTGAGATATGGACCCTTGAGTCAAGGACATTACTGAAGTCCTCTCAAAATGAAACAATCATGTAGATTAACCAGTAAAGACTGTCTCCTTATAAGCTTTGTGCTAGTTGAAAAACCATCTATCTGGACTCAAACTGACAAAAATAACATGAAAGGTTAGATAATAAACTTAGGGGCAGTGAGTTTAAGATATCAAGGGGTCAATTCAGAAAAAGGTGAAAATGGACACGTGGTCAAATGCAATTGATGCAACTGTACATGTAGAAACTGTCAAATATTCTGCGGTGTGTAGTCTCAATAACAGCAACAAAGTAGGAAAGAACACTGCTGGCTCCACAGAGGAAAAGCCTGGTCATTTTCTCGTAAAGGCTGCAGCTTCAGGAGCCCGCTGGCGGGCGATCTGCCCCACCGGCTGCTAGGAGTCGGACCTGATGACACCCAGGAGCCACAGTCAGAGAAGCCCGCTACCGCTGAGCCCCTAAAGATACACTTGCCTCAATCCCCTATATGCCTACTCTTTACTTACCGCTGGACTTGTTATGTGACATTTTGCATTCACCTCAAGAGTAAAAACTCTACTATTCAACTGTTTTGCATGCTGAAGATGTACGGGTGGTAGTAACTAGGGTTGAGGTGTAAGGTCAGATGGCTAAAGTATAAACTTGGTTGGTCCATGATCCTGCAGTTGGGCAACGATGACATCTGGCAGCCGTGTTTAATGACGTTACTTGACAGGTAATGCTGTAGTCAGCGTTCCATTTTGCGATCCGATGTGGTCCTCCTCCACCTTCCCATAGCCCCAATTTTCATGTGATGGCTTGGTGTTTCAAACTCAATTATGGCGATGAGAGGAGTGGTGTGCTGAAGACAGACAAATCTGCCACCACGAGTGGAGAAACACCTAACAGAAAGCATGTCACCGAATCTATGGATGTCCAGGCCCTCATACTACACTTAAGGGTAATCCGATGTCTGGGGATAAACAGCTCCTGATGTTAGAAAAATACATCATCCACTACGGCTTCCCCCACACCCAGACTATTCAAAAAAGGAGTAACTTTCAAAAAGAAAACAACGTATTTGGACTACTCCAAAAGTCAAAAAGAGCTCCTTACCTTAATCTCAATACCAGACTAATTGGGATCTTGGTTTCTTGCAAAACTGCTCCTGAAGAAAGAGTCTAGAAACGTTGAAAAGCACAAAGTCACTGCCTGAAACGTGCATCATGGACGGACGGACTGGATAGTCGATGGCAGAGGATCACCCACCAGCTCCCGGGGAGGCTCTCCGGGTCCCAGGACCCCTCGCTGGGAGGGTGCCCTCCAAGACAGTGGCAGAGGCTGTGCCAGCCTGAGCTGAACACAATCAAACCTGCGTGCAGCACATTTAAACCGTATTCTTTCCAGACCTTTCTTCATCTGGATAGAGGCGAAGGAACCCTGGTAGTGCACTGTGTGCACATATGCTGGGCTACTAATTGCAAGGGAGGTGGTTCGAGCCCACAGCTACTCTGTGCAAGAAAGACAGGCTTTCTACTCCTGCACAGGTTTACAGCCTGAGAAACCACAGAGGCAGTTCTACCTTGTTTTATGGGCCATTTTGAGTTGCAAATAAATTGTTGGGAGTTGAGTTTTTGTGTTTTTTTAAAAAACAAAACAAAATAACAAAAAACAAACCAAACTATAAAAACAAAACAGAAGAAAAAACTTTTAAAGATCTGCTGTGTGCCACAAGGTAGGGCCTAAATCAGCTACCCTGTTAATGTGTCTAATTCTGAAGTAACAGTTTTCTTTAGGGCTAAGCTAATCCTCCCTAAAATCCTTTTCTTACCACAGGGAAAAAAACAAAAACAAAAACATCACATTAGAGTTTATCAAACAAAAGTGATTTTTCCATCAGTTTCCTTAAGAATTTTTCCTATATAGTATGCAGAAATGGAAAACTTAGATGACAAAAATGCTGAAATGCCACCAATGGTAAAAGTCAGGAAAAAATTAGAATGCTTGGAACGTTTCAGTTGTTAACTGCGTATCATAACATGTGATTCTCGTAAAACAATGAAAATGGAATTTCTAATTTGTTCCCAAACTTACCAAGGCACCCACAGTAGACTGTGGAATAGTGGCTGTCCTCACTGACCCAGGAGGGTGGCCATTCCAAGTATTTACCTGAGTTGTTTTTGCTGGCTCTGCTTGGGGTGGGAGAGAGACTTGAGTTGGCTGTGCAGGTGTCTGCCCCGCTGGCTGAGGTAGATGAGCAGAGATCTGTTCTGGAACTTGGAGTAAAGTCCCCACAGGATCCGCTGTTGGAAAGAGCTGCAACAACCCCACCCCAGTCAATGCCGGCCTGAGAGGACCAGGGCACTGACAAGCAAGTAGCGGCTCACTGGGAGACGAGCTTGCACAGCTCCTTGTTTATTTTTTTGCTTCTTGAGGTATGGTTTAAGGCACCAAATAAATCTGTTGCGAATTTTTAGATACTATGATTTTCAGAAAATGTATCCATCGTCTCAGCCCATGCCAGATGACTCCCACCCTCTCGGAAAATTCTTCCCTTGCGCTCTTTTGCAGTTACTCCTGTTCCACCTCCAGCTCTGGGATCATTGTCCTGCTCTCTACAGTATTTGCCTTCTTCTGGGCAGTTAATAGAAACAGAGTTGTTAAAAACTATAGGAAAGGGCTTCAAAAAGCTTGTGGAAAAATGGAATTAAAAGGTTATTTTGCCAAGTCTTTTTGAGCTCACAACATTTTGAGAATCAGCCATGTACTATAGATCTGTAGCCCATTCCCTTTTTTGGGATCAAAGAGTAGTCACTGCTCCATACTCATTATTAAATACACCCAAAATGCACCCTCAAATTAGAGATTTAAGTGTGCAATAAAAGACTATGGAAAAAAACATTTTTGCCCAGGGTCTAAGGACCTTCCATTATTCTTGAAGAAAGGCAATTAATCAATGACTCTTTAATGCATCTGAAATGCATTTCAACAATAAATAGGAACCATCTGAAATTTAACTCTCCACCTAAGTTACAATGAAAGGGGGGGGCGGGGGAGAGGGCCTAAAACAAACACAATACTTTGTGCAAAAATAAGTTAAACATATTTAAAATTTGTAAGTTAGTAATTTAGAAAAACAACACGGAAACCAAAAATTGAAAGATGGAAAAACATAACTGACCACAAGGTTGGTTGGTGGTTCAAGTTCACCAAGAGATGCTGCAGAAGAAAAGTCGAGTCAAGCGGCCTCCTGAAAATCAGCCTAAGAACCTTCAGGAGCACAGTTCTACTCTGACACAAAAGCCGGGTCATCAGTGGGAGCCAACTGGCAAATGGTTTGTTGTTAACTAGCTGATATTAGTGCCCCCCAAAAGATAGTTAGAAGTTAATTCCTGGTTAATCTGTTTGGTATTGTAACCTTGCTTGGATATGGGGTTTTTACAGATGCTAAAGACAAATCAACACGAGGTCATACTGGGGTAATCCCATCTAAATGGTGCCCTTACAAAAGAGGAACAGAGACAGGAATAGTGAGGGCGGTCTTGTACCAGGAGTTGTGCTGCAGCTGCAAGCCAAGGAATGCATGGCCTACCGGAAGCTAGGAGAGACAAGAAGATCCTTTGCCTAGGGTCTTCCGAGAGAACATGGCCCTGCTGACACCCTGAATTGGGGCTATGAACCCCAGAACAGTGAGAGAATACATTTCAGTTCTTAGAATTCAAACAATTTGTGATATTTTATTAATCTTAGAAAACGAAGACAATCTGTAAGATTAATTTTCAAATTTTAATATAACTATTAACAGTATCAGCACACCTGTATCTCTCTATACTAAAGACAGAAAAGAAATCCAAACAAAGTCACTCATGAGCATGAGAGTATGAGTTAGAGCACGTGAACGTTTTCAGAGAGGTAAATATTTAGGCAAAGAGGCAAGGGGAAGACAAACAAAAGGCTCTGGATAATCTGAAATTCCTTCTCGTGCAAATCTCTGAAAAATTAAAAACTAGTTGGAATGGGGCAAATTAAGAGAGTGAAAACCAATTCGAAATCTCAGTTGGTTGAAATAACAAGTTATGTCTTGCGCACCCTTCATGTCTGTTTCTGGCCCAGGAGCAGCCTGACCATCCTCACTCGGGATGCAGGTCACAGTGGCAGGGACAAGTGGCTGCAGGGCTTTCTCCTGCAGGTGCCACACATCCACATCTCTTCTGTTCACATTTCAATGGCCATGTCTAACATCCAGGGGCAGGGAAATTCGGCCATACATACCCCAAGCGGGTGAGAGTCAGAAATATTAGCTAATAGCAGTTGTAATATAATTTTTCATGTCCAGGCCTGTTCATATGCTGAGCTGCAGTACTTATTTTCAGTCTTAAGTAACAGAATATTGCATATGTAAATGTCTTAGGTGGTAAAAAAATAAGTGAAAAAAATTTACTTTTAAGACCAGGGGCAAAAATAATATTGGTTTGATATCATCAGATGTGTAAAATTAAACCCCAATTCCAGGCTCTTAAATGAAAACGCTGCCAGATGGAAGGCTGCATGATATGACATGGTAATTCTCAGCTAGTGAGCGAAAGGAAGGGCAGTCGTGTTTAGGATTCCTATCCCTGGCACGCAATTACTACAGAAACAGTTTATTTGACAGGAGAAGTGAGGGGTGGGGCCGGGGCTAGAAACATCTGGATAAATACAAAACAACTACTTCCCACTCCATGCAATCCAAACCAAAGCAGCAATTCCTAAAGCACAAAAGGGAAAGGGGCTATTCCTGTACCTTCGAGCAATTTAAAAATGCGTGCCAAGGCATCAGCCTGCTGGAAAAGCACCCACTCTAACTCAGAAATGCTGCTTCTGATAAAATTCAACTGGGGTAAAATCTCATACGAAAATAACGTTCTTACAATCGCAAACAAAACAAAAGCATGCAAACTTTAATGCGATTTCACTAATCGCAGTTACTTACCTCAGAATTTAATGGCTCTTTTACTCGAGGCGACTAAAAAAAATACAAAAGGAAGCAGGTTAAGCGGGGGCTTGGGTTCCCTGCAGTCGGTTCTCACTCATCTGCAACACATGCTGAAATGCGAGCCAGCGACTACTCATGCCGACCTACATACTAGCTTGCCAGTAACTGTTGAAAATCTTCTGGAAAAAGAAAAGCCTATTATATTTCTTATCCAAATGACCCATAATACATCAATGCATTTCTCTTCTCAATAATTCACAGCATTAGGTTATAAGAGGCTGTTTCCAAAAGGTCACGGAGAAAGGACTTTTCTATGATCTTTTAGAAACACCCTCATATAAGCAACCTATGGGGAATGTCTAAGTTCTAGGGCAGTAGGGAGTTCACACATTCTTCAAAGTAAAATGCTTCCCACTAATCATGACCAAACTTAAACCTGACGCCAAGTTTTAATGCAGAAAACTCTTGAATCAAAATCAAAGAACAATGCTTTTTAAGTCTACCACCTTTTGCTCTAAGGAGGCACAGTTAAGTGCTCACCTACCAACCCAAAGGATAGCACCCTAGCAACTCCCAGGGACAGACACCCAGTGAAGTGCTCTTGCGGACAGCTCATGGGCCCTGTGGGGCAGCTCGCCACTATCCTGTGGGTCAGCTGAGCCAAAACAGACTCAGTTGAGCCCTCGCTCTTGGTGTTAGGTATTTGGAGATTAAGTGTGAAATTAGTGAGGGTTTGTCCAAACCCAAAGAACAGCTAGAGAAGAGAAATTCACACAACGAGGTGACGTTTTAGACACCTGGTGTAATCAGCACTCATTCCGAAAGAATTAAAAATATCTGCCACGTGAAAATCTCACCTACGTTTCCTTAGTAAATCTTAACACTAGTATCAGTAGTTATGTACATTAGAGTTTTAAAAGAAAAAAAACTTGGCACACCGCTAAATAAACATCAATTTATGACATTTCTGTCAATCATGAGTTTGTTCAAACTACTTAAATATTTTTTAGTGTTCATCACCAATTTATGAAGGAGGATCAAGGTTCCAGTAATTGTGAATATATGACAGTACGTAAGTGACCAACACAATATCTAACCCTTTAAAAACACACATACAAAACTTTAAATTTGAAAGTTATTTCAAGCATAAATAAGAATTGCTAGAATAGGAACAGTATAAAATAGTACAAAGAAAGAACACTGGCTATATCTTTAACCCAGATTCACTTAGTTTTATCCATTTTACTCATCATTTTGGTACGTGGCACCCCTCATTCATATTTTTCTTGTTATGACATTTTATCATTCAATTAATTAGTATGTATTTCCAAAGAAAAGAGCTATTCTCTTACATAGCCTCATGTTATTGTTATCACTCCATTAAATTTAACATTGACACAAAGCTTTTGGCTAAGCTTCCATGCATAATCTAACTTTGTCAAGTGACCCAATAATATCCTATAGAAACTTATTTTTCCTCCAGGACAGGATACAGCCTAGGACCAGGGATTTCAGTTAATTGCCCAATCTATTTAGATTTCTTTAATCTGGACCATCAACATTTTTGAAGATCATTCCCTACCAGTGCCCAATTTATTTTAATAGACTGTTCTTCATTTGAGGCTTGAGGTTTTAGCAATCTTTATAATTAGGGTTACAAAATGATTTTCCACATCCACATCCAACGCTCTCTCAATTTTTACTAGTGCACACCAGGCAGTCTACAGTGAAAAGATGGATCCCTTGACTACATTTAATTATGCATCTATTTATTATTGGTTTCACTTCAAACTACTATTTCAAAAATTATTTATATTACTGCACTTACTTCTCAAGCAACCCTTTGAAATCTTCTGTTCAGCTGTTTTACTTCGTTCACGTCTCCCAGTCGCTTTAGTTACTCTATGTTCCAGAGCAAGTTTCAGGGTCTATTCTGATAGCTATTTTGTTTTTCCTTTCTTGTCTTTTTAATGGTCTTGTGCTTTCTTCGTATATGATGTCATTCCAACAAATTGTCTGGTCTTCTGCCATTACTGGTTCAATGTGTCAAATACGTTCTTGAGATGGTCTCTCAATTTAGGTGGGCTATACTCAAGATTGTCCCTTTGCTCCTGTGGAGTTATTTTAATGATTTTGTTTCCATTGAACTTGAACAGCAGTAACTGATGGTGGTCTGCTGCACATGTGGGCTCCTGGTTTTGTTATCTGTCAACTCTGCCCACAGATGTAGTGGACTCCATCCCCGTGTCCACACACAGTCACCCTGCGGGGGTTGGATGGATTGCAATGAGTAAGTTCTTTGTCTGGACACGTCTTTCACGCGATTCCTCAATCTTCTACCACCACAGGCCATGCTCTTTGTTTCTGACTTTCACGTTCCTGTTGCCAGTGATGTCTGATCAACCTCAGACTACAGAAGTCGGTAAATATCTTTAATTTCTTCATCGTTTGCATTACTGGTCGGTAAGTTAAGTTTGGATAATGGTGGTTTTATAACTGGTCTTCCGTGTAGGTGTGTGGATATTAGCCTATCACTGACAATATTGTACTTCAGGACAAATCCTGAATTGTTCCTTCTAATCGTGAACACAATACTATTCCTCTTCAATCTGTCATTCCTGGTATAGTCAACCAAAAGGATCCAAAACAGCCACGACCATCTATTTCAGCTTACCGTGCCAAGGAAAGGTAAGGAGGTGCAGTGGCATTGTCCAGTAAGCACTGGAATGCTAATTGCAAGGCAGGAGGTTCAAACCCAGCAGGAACTCCTAGGAAGAAAACATGAGGCTGTCTGCTCCTATAAAGTTTTACAGAGTCCCAGTAACCCTATGCGGGGTTACTATGAATCAGAATCAACTCCATGGCAGTAGGCTTTTAAATAATTTTGAATGCCAAAGATACCGATCTTTGTGCATCTCATTTGTTTTTCTTTTTGAGAAAATTTATCGACAAATAGGCCACTAGCTTTTCAAGCATACTTTGGGACACAGGCTATAGAATGATATCTAAATTTGGATTTCAGTTAATTTTTGATGGCTTCCAATTTTCCTATAGTCATGCCTCTCCTATCGTAAATTCTGATGATCAGTGAATGTGTGCAGCTGTGTTCTCGCTTACGTCATGCTACACCAACAAAAGAAGGTCCTGAAAGCTTTACACCAGAGGCTCTCAAACTTACTTGCCTACCCCTCCTTTTCAGAAAACAACCCCCTCCCCCAAAAAACCACAAACAAACCAAAAACTACTCAGTGAGTTACTGGTAATTACAAACTTCCACACTGTAGCCTATAACCCAGGATCAAGTGTAGGTATCTGCTTTGCAGGCCCTGTCTCACTCCCTACCCAATATTGGTCCAGTGGTCCCCGGGGGAAGGTACTGCCCACTTTGGGAAACATTGCTTTACGCCATTTATGTCATCAAAATTTACTCTACTTTTAAGATGCAACATTTCCAGCAGTGGAATGGATGTCAGAATGAGCAGAAAAGGACATTTTAAAAGCATTATATATGTTCTGAAAGTTATGTAGAGATAAGGAAGATGCAACAAACAAACAAACAAAAGCATCCCCAAATCAAACTTATCAAGAATGATCTCTCTTAGATGAGTGTAAAGAGGATGGGATTAGCCGCACAATGGATAAAGAAGATTAATAAACTTAAAGGCTAGCTGGTAACTGAAAATATGGAAAGAGAAAAAAGACAAAGGATTTTTTGAAATATGTTTTAACGGTGGAGAATGAGTGATAGTCCAGTGGACTGATACACATGTCACTAGAGTCCCAAAGAGAAGTGAGGGACAAAAATTTCTGCACACATCTTAACCAAATTTCCCAAAGTCATTAATAAAGAAAAAAATCTTAAAAGCAAGTATGGAGATGAGAAGATGTAATTGAAGCAAGACAACGGAACAGTATCAAAATACTGAAAGAAAAGGCCAGTCAAAATACACTTCCATTCAACAAACATGTCTTTTAAAAACAAAGATGAAATGGAAACATTGCAGACATAATAAAACCTTAAATAAACCTGCACCAGCAAAAATATTAAATGAACCTCCCACAGGATAACAATTAGATCCAGGTGCAAATCTAGACGTACAGAATGCTACTTACTACAAAGATAGGTACTGAGTTTTGTCAAAGGCTTTCTCATCATCCATGGAAGTAATGAGATCTTTTTTCTCCACGAGGCCCACACAACAGATTTTCTGATACTGAACTATTTCTGCACTCCATGGTCATGATACAGTCATAATTAAGCTTTGCTTTAACATATGCACTTTTAAGAAAAGAATTTGTCATTTCAAAAATGGATATATCAAAAATACTAGAACGTTACTTATTCTGTGAGTGAGGTATAACACTCTGTACTATTTAAAGACCCGTCTATTGATTGCGTTTTGAAAAAGTCATAGCTAGTTCTACTATTTTCAAAATCTCATATATATTTTTAGAAATGATCAGACATGAAAAGGGTATCACTTATTTTTCCAAATATTATTTGTTGGCCAGAGAAAATATAGACTCATCGTTTCTTTCATAGGAAGACAGAATTACAGGGTTATCATATTAATTAGTGGAGAAGACACAGGAAGAAGTAAAGAAAAATGAATTAAAATACATATTTTATGACTCTGTATTCGTTATCTTCTAAAGAGCTTTTCAAAGTTTAGAGCTCAATAAATTTTAGCCAAGCGTTCCTGGCCAAACCGTTACAAACTCAGCTCTTTAAAAGGACCAGAATCAAAGATCTCATCTGCTTTATCACGACCAAGTCATCAAGTACTCAATGCTGACGAGCACACAGATGGGCGAGCTCCCACCGGAAAGGACCCTCAACAGAGGGAGAGATTCAACCAGAGCCCCTACTCCCCATACAGCCACCTGAGCAGATGAGGTTCTGATGGAATCAGGCACTTCTACACTTGGAACAAGTCCTGACAATCAGCAAGAGGCATTCATTTTAGGCAAGAATGAAAGTAAGCCCAATGAAAATTACTGCTTCTGGCTGAAACTAATACTTCTCTCTCACGCACATACCCAGGGCACAGCCATTAAACACTACTCCTCAGAAGCCTCACAGACACCAGAGGCGAAGTTCCTATTGCTACTCTTCCAAATTCATTCATCTTTTTTTAGGCAATTCATGTTATTGTAATTAGGGGCTCCTGAGTCGGCTCACATTCACAGCAACCCCATAGACAAGAGAATGAAACACGGCCGGGTCCCCCCTCACAACTGTTGCACTGCTGCGCCCAGCGCTGCAACCCCCAGGCCCATTCATTTCATGGAGGGCCTTCTTCTTTTTGGCTGACCCTGCACTTCCCCAGGCATGATGTCCTTCTCTGGAGTCTGGTCCCTCTGATAACATCCCCAGAGCATGTGAGGTGACATATCACCATCCTTGCATGCAGGGAACATTCTGCCTGTATTTCTTCAATCACAGATTTGCTTGTTTTTCTGGTAGCCCATAGCATATTTTCAGTCATCTTTAATTCAAAGATATCAATTTTTCTTTGGTCTTCCTTACTCATTGTACACCTTTTGCATGAAAATGAGAGGATTGAAAATACTATGGGCTTGGGTCCAAACCAAATACCTAACTCACTACCATCCAGTCAATGCATGACTCATAGCGATTCTGTAGGGCAGAGTAGAACTGCACTTTTGGGTTTCAAGGATGGGACTCTACAGGAATAAAAACTTCACCTTTCTCCTGCAGAGCAGCAGGTGGGCTCAATCGGCTGCCCTACAGGTGGCAGCACGAAGGGCCATCCACTGTGCTGCCAAGGCTCCTTTTCCGACTTCTTTGCTTTCTACCAATTTCAGGAGAATACATCATTCAATTTCTTAACTACTGCTTCCACAACCTTGATTATGGATCCAAGTTGTCACTATGAAATCCTTAATAACTTCCACCGTTTCCCCATTTATCATCACGCTGCTTACTGAGGTACGGAGAGGATTTCTGTCTCTTTTGTGTTGAGGTGTAATCCACACTGAAGGCTGTCGTCACTGATCTTCATCAATAAAGGCTTTTAAGTCCTCTTTGTTTTCAGCAAGCCACACTTGTGTCACTGCACAGCACAAGCTGTCAATGAATCTGCCTCCAGCCGCGAGGCCGTCTTCTTCTTCTTCAGAGGTTCCCGTTTCCGATTCCATTGCTCAGCACCCAGAAGGAATACGCACAGTGAAAGGACGTAACTTTGAAGCACACCGATCCTGATCACTTTGCTCTGTTCCAACTGCCTCTTGGTCTAGATGCAGGTTCTGTAGGGGCTCCATTAACTGTTTTGGAATTCCCGCTCTTCAGAATGTCATCCACAATTTGCTATGATCCACACAGTCACAGCAAATAAAACATCGGTATGCATCTTTTTGGCATTCTCTGCTTTTGGTCAAGATCTGACACCAGTAACAATAGTCCTCTTTACATGGCCTCTTCTGGATATGGCTTGAATTTCTAGCAGTCCTATGTCAATGTATTTCTGCAACTGTTTTAATTATCTTCAGCAAACCTTGACTTGTGTATGATATTAGAGTTATGGTTTGATGATTTCCACACTAATAAAATGTATAATTAGTGCAATATATAACTGGCCATTAATCCCAACCGGTATACTTATGTTTCATCTCAAACACTCTATTCCTTGCGGAGTCAAGTCTCAGCAAAAATGGCAGCAAAGGTGCCCTAGGAGTCAGTCCCTCCACTGGAATGGCATTAACCAGAGTTCCCTCTGGGCCTTTGCAATGATATCTATCGATATAAAACTATCAAACAGATCTCTCAGTTCAATTTTCCACAGAGAATCAGTGCCCATCATGGGCACCTGCATGCTTCACATTGTAGCTGCCTAAGCCGAGCAAGAACCACAGAGCACAGCATCTGTTATTACTAAGGCTTCTGACAAAGGCAAAGCTCTAGCTAAAGTACATTTACAAAACTTACTCTTAGTTGTGAAATTGCTGCTTTTCCTTCCTCACTTTCTTCATCAAATTCGTCATCACTCCACTCCCAGCCACCATCTTCTGTTTTATGAAGGCGGCCACTGGAACCCGGGACTCTCCGTACCTGCTCAGGGAAAACACATGTGAATGTTCGACCTTCCCCAAATAGGATACTCAGTCATCATTTTTGTCTTCTCCTTTGAAAAGAATCAAGCGGACAATTAAGGCCCACAAGTAAGCTTTCCCAGACTCAGATCCACCCACTCTCACTGCCCTTTGGCCACCATTGCTCTGGCTGTCTTTTTGCAGTCACTGTCTCTGCACACCTCAGCACTAGCAATCGGAGAAACCCTTCAATGACTCTCCGCAATCTACATCGAGCCAACTATTTCACAACTCTGAAACCGGACTGCACTTTGAAAACTGCGAGGCTTAGCTCGACGCAGGGAAAGACTGCTGATCTTTGGTAGGAGAGTGGCAAGCACAAACCAGACAGCATTGCCCATCCCTCCTCTGCAGTTCCACAGCAGCTGGGGGTGAGAGAGTAACCAGCATGACTGGGGTCGCTGGTGCCAGGATGAACAGCTAGGGCCTTCTCCTTCCAAAGCTGAGCGGGTGTGTTTTGGTCAGCTGATAGTGCCCTGAAAACTAGTGTACATATCTGACGTGTTTTAGGCCCTCTTGTGCTTTCGCAGCTTTCCCCAGCATCGTTTGTGGGAAGATTTTAAAAAGAGAACTTTTTTTTCTACCGCAACAAAGCTTTGAAGGAAACCATTGTCAGATACCTGGCTAACTGGAGAGATAACAGAAATATCAGTGGCCACATAGAAAAAAAGAAGACCAATTTTGTAAATATAGTTCAGGAAAATCACTAAACAAATGAATATCCACAATCTTTAACAAGCAAAAATCAGCAAAGCCTGGTGGGGGAGAATCTGATCCCACACATAATAATATTAAAAAATGACAGGTTCCCAAAAACTAAAAATTAAAAAGAATACAAAGAAACAAAAATCATGGCTTGTCCACCACAAACCAATAATTTTGACAGAAATCATTGCTGAAGACACTCAAATAGAGGAAAAATTACATCATTCGTCTTAAGCATGGTCAATGAGTTGAAGACAACCGTGGACGAAGAAGGAAAGGGAAACAGGGAATGCTGTAGGAACAGATAGGAATTGTCAGTTAGGACAGACATTACGAAAATCAACCAGGCAGACATTCTGGAGGTGAACAATAGGTGCCCCCTGTCCCCTTTAGATGGCATTTTTGCTGAGATGGCGGACTGGATCTGTAAGGCACACACCGACTCTCTTTACCACGTGGTGGTCCAGCCACACATTGAAGGTGGTCCAGAGCAAGCTCTCCTCAGTCTCCACAGTGGGGGCAGGCTGGGTGTTTTCCTGAGCTTCAAGTCCTAGCTCCCTTTTGCTTAATACTTCCTTCCTGAATTTACCTATTTTTTTTCTCTAACTTTAAGCAATAAGGAGAAATTAAACTGTGCCTTCAACATTAAAAAATATTTTTCTCAGTTAAATATTTAAGTTCATAGCTTAGAAATTATAATTTCCATAAACCAGTAAATCACAATTGAGCTAAATTCTCTGATATTATATAGCACAGGCCTCCAAATTGATTTAGCCTCCTTTTCAAGTTAAAAAACAATTATTCAGTTCCCTCTTGGCAATGAAAAGCTTTTGCACATAGCCCATAATCTAGCACACAGTACAGGTCTGCTTCTGCAGCCCTCAGCCCTGGCCATTCCAGCATAAGGTTTACTTTAGTGTCTGTCCAATGACATGCTCATCATTTCCTAATAAGGGTCAATCATAAGCAATTCCAGTGCTTATCTTTCTTTTATTTAAAATCATTTTATCAGGGGCTCATACAATTCTTATCACAATCCATACATACATCAATTGTGTAAAGCACATTTGTACATTCACTGCCCTCATCATTCTCAAAACATTTGCTCTCCACCTAAGGCCCTGGTATCAGCTCCCTTATTTTTTGCCCTCCCTCCCTCATGAACCCTTGATAATTTATAAATTATTGTGTCATATCTTGCCCTGTCTGACGTTTCCCTTCACCCAATTTTCTGTTGTCTGTTCCCCAGAGAGGAGGCAATATGTAGATTCTTGAAATCGGTTCCCCCTTTCCAACCCACCATCCCTCTACCCCCCCAGTATCGCCATGCACACCACTGGTCCTGAAGGGATCATCTACCCTGAATTCCCTGTTTCCAGTTTCTATCTGTACCAGTGTACATCCTGTGCTCTAGCCAGATTTGTAAGGTAGAATTGGGATCATGATAGTGGGTTGGGGGTTGGGGGAAAGCACTTAGGAACTAGATGAAAGTTGTAAGTTTCATCATTGCTACATCTCAACTGTAAAGGGATGTCCATTGGCCTACAAATAGGCTTTGGGTCTCCATTCCACATGCCACCCCTCATTCACTATGATTGTTTTGTTATGATGATGCCTGATCCCTTCGACACCTCGTGATCGCACCGGCTGGTGTGGTTCTTCCATGTGGGCTTTGTTACTTCTGACCTAGATGGTCGCTTGTTTACCTTCAAGCCTTTAAGATACCAGGTGCTGCTATCTTTTGATAGCTGAGCACCATCAGCTTTCTTCGCCACATTTGCCTATGCACCCATTTGTCTTCAGCGATCGTATCAGGATGGTGAGCACACAATGATAGGATATTTTGTCCTTTGATGCCTGATAACTGATCCCTTGGGCACCTCGTGAGCACACAGGCTGGTGTGCTTCTTCCATGTGGGCTTTGTTGCTTCTGAGCTAGATGGCTGCTTTTTTACCTTTAAGCCTTTAAGACCCCAGACGCTATATCTTTTGAGAACCGCCTCTATCAGCTTTATTCACCACATTTGCTTATTCACCCACTTTGTCTTCAGTGGTTGTGTCGGGAAGGTGAGTATCATAGAATGCCAGTTTAATACAATGAAGTTTTCTTGCATTGAGGGAGTACTTGAGTGGAGGCCCAATGTCCATCTCCTACCTGAATACTAAACCTATAAATATATGCAATAGATCTATTTCCCCATCCACATGTATAAATATATTTATATGCCTTTATTTATACCTCTATAAATGCCCTTTGCCTCCTAGCTCTTTCCTCTATTTCCTTTTACTTTCCTCTTGTACCACTATCATGCTCAGACTCCATTTGGGTTTCAGTAATTCCTCTTGGTTACATTACCCTTGATCACGCCCTACCAGGCCTCCTCCACCCTCCTCACCACCGATTTGGATCACTTGCTGTTCACTTGTCGCTGGGTTTGTTAACACCACTACCTTCACCCCCTCTCCAATGTCCCCCCGGAACTGTCAGTCCCGTTGTTTTCTCCTCCAGATTGTTCATTCAGGTATCTTATTTAGACAGAACTGTGGAGATAACATACACAAAAACAAGACAGAGCAAAACCAAGCAACAATATACAACAAAACAACAACAAACCAATGACAAAAAAACAAAACAAAACACAACAAGAAAGAAAAGCTTGTGATTAGTTCAAGGACTATTTGTTGGCCTTTAGGAGTGTTTTCCAGTCTAGTCTGTTGGGGCACCCTGACCTGGCCCCAAAGTCTAGTTTTAGTATTCCCTGGGGACCTTGCCACACCATTCCCTTGCTGTTCTGTTGCACCCCCTTAGTATTTTGCCTTGGTGTGGTGGGATAAGATTGGGCACAATTCCCAACTGTGTCTCCAGTGTTGTCCCCTGTAGGGATATGTCAGTGAGGGGCGTCATGTCTCATACTGGGGCCGGCCATGTGGTCTTCTCTGTGGACTGGCTGCTCTGAGCGGGAATATCGTCCTCAAGGCTTGGTGGGCCAGGATGTGCTCCACTCTCTCTTCCTCCCCATTCATTTGCTCCCATCATACATGTCCCTCTCTGGGAGCTGCAGATTCAGTGCTGTCCTCTGAAATAAATTCTTCTGGGGGCCAGTGCTCATATTTCTACTAATTATTTGTTTAAGGTAACATTATTACTGAATTATGGTCCCCAAAATATGTACTATGTACTCAAGCCTCCATGCCTATGGTTTACAATGGGTAGTCTTTCTAATGTTTATGAGGCAGAATTAGTGCAGTCAAGCTCTTTTGAGATATAAAAGATTCAAGTAGGCAAAGAGTGGAATGAGTCAGATCAATGCCAAGACACATGGAGATCTCCAAGCCAGGAAACAAAAGGTGAAGAGATAAGGATCCTCCTCCAGAGCCAATACACCGAGAGAAGAGCTTTCCCCTGGGGCTGGTGTCCTGAATGCAGACTCCTAAACTGTGAGAAAGCACGTTTCTGCTTGTTAAAGCTACCTATCTGTAATTCTGCTAAAACAGTTCTAGGTAATGAAAACAGGTTACGCAGGAATTTTCTACTGGACAACTCAAAAGTCTTCCAGCCTCTTCCCATTACTCAATTTGAAAGTCTTGTTAGCATTTTCAGGTTTTCATCACAGCAGTATCCCACTCGCTAGGACCAAAACCCACATAGTTTTCTTAGGACTGGCGTAAATAGATCTATGTGCATATTTTAAAGGTTTAGTATTAAGGCAGTAGATGGACATTGGGCCTCCACTCAAGTACTTACTCAATGCAAGAACACGTTGTTCTATCAAATTGGCATTCCATGATGCACATGTTCCCGACACGATCGCTGAAGAAAAATGTGTGCACAAATGTGAAGAAAGCTGATGGTGCCGGCTATCAAAAGATATAGCGTCTGGGGTCTTAAAGGCTTCAGGATAAACAAGCGGCCATCTACCTGAGAAGCAACAAAGCCCACATGGAAGAAGCACACCAGCCTGTCTGACCACAAGGTGTAGAAGGGACCAGTTATCAGACATCAAAGAACAAAAAATCCTATCAGTGGGTGCCAACCTTCCCAATATGATCACTGAAGACAAACATAAGCATAGGCAAATGTGTTGGAGAAAGCTGATGGTGCCCAGCTATCAAAAGATACAGCGCCGGCTACTACTCCTGCCGCGGGGCCGGAGGCCTTGACGGTGTCCAGCTGCGCTTAACTCTGGCTGGTGCCACCTGCCTCCGCAATGCCCCTCAAGAAATGGTGCAGCTGGCGGCAGCAAAAAAGCGGAG